TCAAGAATGTAAAATTTCAAGGACAAGGGTTATTTTGAATCATCCTGTGTGTGTGTGTGTGTGTGTGTGTGTGCGCGCGCGCGCGCGCGTGCGCGTGCGTGTGCGTGTGCGTGTGTGTGTGTGTACACACACACACACACACACACACACACACATATATATACTCGTATACAGGATGGCCCCGAACGTTCCAGTCAGACTTTGAGATCTTATAGGAAATTTAATTCTGAACAAAAAATTTCCTATAAACATGGGTCAAAAAACGCTTCCTTGAGAAGTTATCGTTCAAAAATCTCTGATGAAGGAAAAGCAAAAGGTGAAAGAAAATGAAATAAAAAGAAAATGTGAAACTAAATAAATTTTTAAAAAAACGATAAAAATAAAAAATAAAAATCTTTTTCTTTTATGAAAATAAAATAAAAGTTAGTTAAAAAAAATTATTTTTACTGTTACTTCAATTATTATTTACTTTTTATTATTATTTACATTTTCGCTTTAATTATTATTATTTTTTAAATTGTACTGTTTTTTTTTTTTTTTTTTTTTTTTTTTAACGAGAGAGGGGAAAATGCATTTTATGCATACTCACCGGCCGGTCTGATGAGTTATGTAGGACTCGAGTACCAAGTCGAATTACCAACTCGGTACTCCCTACCCACTAAAAACCCCTCTCTTTCGCGAATTTTCTCTAACACTATTTATTTGACATCCCGAAATCTGTTTTCACACAACACCAAAGAATAGTTATTATTTCCTTGTTCGATAGTTATTGCTGTAATTTCTTGAGAAATGAATTTTCTGATAGATTGTACTTTCACTTGAATTGAACGTAGATATCACGTTTCAAGGGACAGAAATCCAGACTAAATAATTAATCGAAAGTTCTTTTTTCTTTTATAAACTGTATTCTTTTATAAACTTCAATATAATCACATTCATTCGCTCACTCGATAAGATGAGAAATTTATCAATGATTCTATCACTAATCACTATCAAACATTGTCGAATAATCACTGTTGGCAATTAAAAATCATTCGATTAAAGCAACACACGCGCACATACGTTATTACACGACGCAACGACGCGACAACGCGACGATATTTATCTGGCGACAGCAAACAGTTTTTGGTTATGGTAGGTTAAGATACTAATAGCGTTGTCGAACGTGAACATGTGCTTGATCGAAAAACCTACCAAAAAAAATAAATAATTTGCAATTAACAATTATATTTTCTTTTTAAAACAACTATGTTTTTTCTTTGCACCAATTGATTCCTCTCATTATTTTGTACATAAAAGTATTAAGGTAAAGTAATCAAAAAATGATTATTTTACAAGATATTTTACGGTTTATGTAAAATTAAGAAATTATTTCAAGCCTCATAACTCGGAAAGTATTTAATGAAAACTAACTTAAATATAGTGTTTTAGAAAGCCCTTAAGATAAGCTATAAGAATATGTAATAAAAAGTAGACGATTCTGTTTAAAAAATTGAAGCTGAGCTTCACGTAACCTTCAAACGACTTTTCAAATTCAAACCAATGACATCATCTTATGGCCCCCTTCAAGCCATATAACTTTCGTCTGAGGCATTTTCCGCTATCGCCCCTACCTGAGGAGATATTCCCATGGACGGATTAAAATGGCCCACCTATATATTCATATTCGTATAATTACAAAATATATATTTACTTTTAAAAGTATATTATCTTTAATTTATTGCTGATATTTGCTGTTTAATATATTTCTAAAAATCTTTTTTCTCTAATTTTAGATTTCCTTTTTCGAAAAGAAAGCATAACAAAGAGATATTAAAGAACAGTTTTTATCACTTAGAAACAAGTGTAAAATATATCGAAAAATTACAGCATTATGTATCACTAATGTCTAATAATAATTTACGGGGTACCAAAGAAACGGAAATGAATAGTCTTCTGCGTTCTGTAGCTAGAAATTTTATAATTTACTGTTTTGTTTTGGATGATATATATAGAATTATTTCTACACAATTATCATGGTATGTAATAAACCAAATTTCCATTAACGTTATAAATTAATGTATACATATTGTACAATTAATATATATATATTTTTTTAGGTACGATTCCAATTTGACGCTTATATATAATTTTGGTCTAATTTTTCATTGGATAAGACAATATCGGTTAATATACAAACAGATCAAATTTATACACGTGCCAAAGGAAAAGCTGCTCTTAGAAAAACAAGTTATTATTATTGCACAATATTTTCATTCATACGTACCTTATTCTATTATTGATCGATGGTTAAACGATATTGTGCAAATTGTATTATCTCGCCTGAAAAATAAATATGCTACTCACTCAGTATTCTCGACGTCTTCTAAGCAATTTACTTTTTGGAGAAATAATAATATCAACGATAACTTTTGGAATCCAATAGACGCAAATCAAATTATCAGTGTTCTTGAAGAAACTATATTTTCTGAATTAGGTATTCATCAATTATATCAATTATTGATAACATTAGATGTCCCAGCTAAATATATAGATTATGTAAGTTATTTTAATTTACATTATATTGAATTGTGATGAATTATATTGAATAATGATACTTTCTTATACACATAACTATGAGTTTTATGTCTTATAAATATAATAATATAATTATAATTTTTCTAATAAAATTTTATGATTTGATAGATTATAGAACATTATGAAAAATGTCTACTGTCTATTACGTATCACTGCGTCGCTAGAAGACTTGGTATACGCTGCTTTCTGAAAGTTATGGATGACAGAGAGCCTTTTGTAACGGCAATTATATGGAAACCAAAATAGTTAGTACACAATTTTAATTTGAAAGCTTTTTAATCTATTTGATGTAATTATTTTGTTATTATTATTATACATATAATTATTTTATGTAATATTATTTCTATTATTCTCAGTAGTACAGAAGATTGTCAATTGGAAGAGCATTCTTATATGATGGAAATATGCCTATGGATACGTCCCTCAAACATCAGAAGGAGTTATTTCATTCCCCATCTAATGGATCCATTATGTGATATATCGGTAATTTTTTACATATAATTTATTTATTAATTTTAATAAGAAAGAAAAATTAGTTTTAATAAATCTAATAATCAATTATAAGTCTTATAAATAATACGTTAATTAATAGGTCAATATATTCTATGAGTAAAATTTAACTTTTTTTCATTTTTTTTTCTGTAATTAAAATATTATATATATATCGTTTTTCAGCAAATACAAAAGTCGATGTTTAATTTTCCACGTGATTTCTGTGAATTGACAAATCATTGTCAATTTGAAGCGTACAATAATATATTTTACAATTGGAAAATCAAGACCTTGATAAATTTCTTATCACGATGCTTAAGCGATAATAATAATGATGATATACAAATGAATTATGAATACAAAAATATTACAAGTTTAATAAAGGTAATGTATAACATATTTATGATATTCTGTAAAATATATGCACATGTTTACATATATATGTATACACATATGAGTAGTTCAGATGTCAATATATAGTGATAGCTATCTATCTCTCTATCTATCTATCTATATATATATATATATATATATATATATATATATATAAAACTATGTATATAATTTAAAAAATTACAATAATTACTTTTAAAAACACTGAATCAGAGAGTTATTAGTTAAGGCATAATACCACTTTGACAACTAAAAAAAAAAGGTGATATTTAGGAATTTTTTTCTCGAAAACTAGAAAAGCTATTAATATGTAATTTTTTTTATTTTATTTATTGATTCTTTAGCTACATAACCATATTTTTTTTATTTAGAAAAATCTTTTTGTCTGTCTGTTTTTTTTAAATTCAAAATGGCGCCTAAAAAACAGGGGGCCCGTTGATGCATGATAATTCTCCTCCAGGATGTCTGAAACAAAAAAATCAAAAAGATTCTTAATCTGTGTATGAATGGCTATCGCATAAACTAAGATAAATTAATTTGTTAAAAAATTAACAATTAAAATGGCAACCAATTAAACAAAACGTTGAAGAAAATCGATTTTTTTGTCCGTTTTTTCGCGATTTTAGCATGAAATTTTTAATATTTTGACTTGATTCTAGTTCACGCTATAGCTATAAATGTGTAGAATAAGCTGTTAACATTTGAAAGCAATCCGGTAAATAGTTTCTAAAAAATCATGCATACTATATCGAAAAACGTTGTTTTGAGAAAAACGCGTTAAAAGTTTTTTAAATCAAAAAATTGTTAAAAAAGTTATATATACCTTTAATCAGCGATGGCTGCACCATACAATATGCCTTCTGCTTCTTCAAACAGACTTTGATCTGCAGCTTTAGCTTCTCTCCTGGCTGATCTGGCTTCATTTGAAGCCTCAGAGCTGAAGCGGTCGGCTAAGGCTACTCGCTGCTCGTCACGCATATCAACGAAACGCATGGCTTCTGGGCCGATTTTGATGCCCATTCCATCCATAATTTTTAATAAAAAAGCAAATCCTTCATTAAAAATACATGCTGCAGTAAAAGTAGCAATTTCGAGTTTTACCGCAGAAAACGTGTTTTGGAGCCATGTTCCTCACGAAGGAGTTGAAACTCTCATTGTTGTTTTGCGTGTTCAAACCCAGGCACCTCTCCAATAAATCATCGGATAATAATTGTATCGCCCTTTAATGTATGCCGATTACCGTAAAATTGTCGCTTTTTTGGACGACTAGCTCTGTTGCTTGATTCTCTGGTATCTTTCTTATCCAATTTTGCACAGAAAACGTAGGGATATATTTCGAATTCCTTCATAAAACTTTGGGATTATTTTTGAATATGTTGTATACTTTTCAGAAATGCAATAAGAAAAACGTTTCTTTGAAGTCGTCAAAGTGGTATCATGCCTTAAATATTATTACATATTATATACATTTATTATGTACATATACAGGATAAATCTAACATCGTGATAAATGAACAACTGGAAATAAGAAGGGCAAAAATTAAATTTACAATTGGTATGATTGTAACGCATTCAACGAAACCATATTTGTATTCGATTAATAAATGTTATCACACTGGCGTGATAATTGGATGGCATTACAAATGCAAAGTTATATTCGTACGAGAAAAATTGAATTCTCTAGTTCCGCATTTGAGTGAATGCTGTGATAATCAGCACGTATGTTTATGCATATCTCAAACTTGCAATTCCAATGAACCACACTATATAATTCTTACAGAAAATAACAAAATATGTTATGTACCACAAGGTATGTATAAATTATTAGTAGCATTCTTTTTTATAAATTATATATATATTTTACATAATATTTCATCTATGTACACACAACATATAAAAAATATAATTTTTTTATTTTAGATACTGTATCAATAGGTCCACCAAAATTCATAAAAAATATAGAAATAGGACGATACTTTTCTAAATTCGAAGTTACTCATTACGTTCCAAATGAAAACTTGGCGAAAAATTATCCGACTGACATCGCAGTTATGCACGAAATATTTTCTAATCAATAATGTGTATAGTAAAATATGAAGATATGATATTGTGGATATTGTAAAATTAAAAGTGCAATGTTAGTATTACGTCTCGGCTCGGAGAAGGATGAATCGAAAAAAGGACATAACAATGATATTTTTCCGAGGACCCGAGAAGAAAGATCGCTCGTTGATTAAATACGTGCCGGTAGAGATATTCGCGTGCACTATATGCTGGTTTCCAATTGGCCTTCCGTAAAAAACGACACCGACGAGCACAACGTTGTAGAGTGACCACATCCCTCAAAATCCCTGTAGTAAATAATAATATCTTCACTGTGTCAATAATAGTAGGATGGACTTTAAAGGCCGTATCAAGTCTCCAAAAAAGATAATGAAAACAATCCGATTTAAACGATTTATGTAATTAAAATCTAACAAATCATAATAAATATTGGAAAAGTTGTTTGCGTATCAGAAAGAAATTAAAATGTAAAATATTTCTTCCCACATACTTTTTTCAAGATGAATTACTTTATATTTATAATAAAAATCTATTTGATTTATCGACATTTAATTATATTCGCCGACTAGTCTAGACTAAGACATCTATTAACGAATTAATAAGATGTAATGCTACTAATAAGATGTTCTGTTAACATAATTAATAATATTAATAATATTTATTATGATGATACATATAAATGTTGTCAATATTTACTGATCTTTCGAAATGATAAATCGTAATTGTGTAAATATTGTACATATTATACATATTATTCTCACCTTCATTAAATATAGTGTAGCAGTTTTAAATAATAACCGACAACGAGTCGTTAAGGCATCGAGCTTGTTAAGTAAATACAGGCAGCCTTGAGCCCCTGTGTATATATATTGTGAACACAGATGACGAGAGCAGAATGTATTTTTCGATAGTCAGGGACAACACAATAAACAGTTTTGAATAAAGAACGTTAGAATATTGAAAAATCCTTGGAAAATTATTACAATTTTCAGAAGTGGGATTTTCGCGCGTGTAGTTGCCATCGAAGAAAAAATAAGTTCGTTCTGCTATGTGCGAACGTGGGAATAATAGTCCGACTCCGCTGTATGCGAACCGGACTGAGAGTGGTACCGAGGAAAGAAGAGAACATTGCAAAAGAGGATCGATACAATGGATCCGAATACACTGACAGTAAGTCAGCTCAAAAAAGCGTTGCGACAACGTCAACTATCGGAGAAAGGAAGGAAGGCGGAACTGATTGCTAGGATGGATAAGGCCGATCCAACGGGGGAGTGGATCAACGAAACTCATCAGTATTATGATGACGATGACTTGGACGAAATGAATCCAATAGGTACGGGGGGCGCAGAGGACGATATGGTTCGCAGGAATCGGCTGGATGCTGAATTGCAGCGTAGAGAAATGAAGCTCATGAGGAGAGAAATGGAGCTGTTGCGGTGCGAAAATGATTTATTGCGGGCGTCGTCTCGTTCTGTATCTACGACTTCGCAAGCAACCGTGAGCATTAAGAGCATCAGTGAACTTTTAAGCGAGTACCAGGGTTCCGGGAAGGATTTTGAACAGTGGAAGACACAGGTGAATCTGCTCCGAACGACATACGAACTTGACGAGAACGCCGTTAAGATTCTCATAGGATCTAAATTGCGGAGCAAAGCGCATCAATGGTATCACTCGCGGGCCGAGTATTTGGCAATGAGCGTGGAGAGGCTCTTGAGTGAGATGCAGGCGATGTTTGATCAGCCCGTGGGAAGATTGGAAAGACGGAGAAAATTTGAACGATGGATGTAGCAGAATGAGGAGTCGTTTGGCGATTACTGCCATCATAAGATAATCCTGGGAAACCGGGTTCCGATAGATGAAAAGGAAATGATGGACTACTTAATAGACGGAATACCCTCCGAGTCACTGAAAACCCAGGCAAGAATGCATTCGTTTTCGACGGTACAACAAGTGATAAAGGCTTTTCGAACGATCAGCTTAAAATCACAAAGGCAGAGTGTATAGGCGTGAGATAGTGCCGAGCCGGGAGGTGAGAGGAAGGCCGGGAGACGATCGGTACGAGATAACAAGTGAGGAAACGACGAAGAGATCGCCTAAACTGTCAACTCGCGGGGTCACAAAGTGCTATGAGTGCAATGGAAATGGTCATTATGCCAAGAAATGCCCCTCAAGGACAAAAAGCATGCTGCAAAACGCGAGCTGCCAGATACGCCAAGGCCAAGAGACAGATTGGAGCTGTGGAGAGTGAGAGACAAGAATCCGAGAGATCATCGAGCGAGGATGACAGAGAGGAAGGGAGCCGAGAAGAGGAGGAAAATATTTGCACAGTAGATATAGAACAAGAAGCAAAGGATGAATATAAAAAATTCGTGCAAATTAGTTTTAATAATTCTGTGCCGTTGTCATGCGTGGCCAGGATAGACAGGTAGTCCAATTAGTTTGGTGCAAAAAAAAATGTGTAAACACGAAATTTATGGAAAAGGCTGGTAAAGAGTGGAGTAAATATTATGGTATTAATAAATCGAAACTTTGCATTCTGGGGCAAATAGACGCTAGCATCGAATTAGAGGGCAGTAATAGAAAAGTAACCTTGGGAGTAGTGTCTAACGAGACAATGACGGTTTCATTACTTTTAAGCAGAAATGCGCTTAAATTATTCGGATATAGATTAACTAAGGATCCTGAATATGATAGAATCGTTACTGAAATATTTAATATAGAGACAGCGCAAAATAATATAATCAAAACGTCCTGTGGAATCAAAAGTTTACGCGGAAGCCAACATTATTTTAAAAAACAGTCAGCCGATTCAATCTAGCGCGCGCAGATTAAGTTACGCGGATAAAGAGAAGGTGCGCGAAATACTTGATTCCTTATTAGAGAAAAAAATTGTACAACCAAGTAGTTCTGAGTATGCATCTCCAATTGTTTTGACTCGAAAAAAAACGGCGATGTGCGAATGTATTGATTTCCGTGCGCTGAATAAAATCATGACGCGGGACAACTATCCTTTGCCTCTAATCGAGAACTTATTGGACGCGCTGCGAGATAAATTTTTTTAGTAAGTTAGATTTAAAAGATGGATTTTATCATGTTGCGATATCTCCAGAATCTATAAAGTATACGTCATTTGTATCACCAATGGGACAGTTCGAGTTTCTGAAAATGCCGTTTGGATTAAAAATCGGCCCTCAACGATTTCAAAGATTTATTAACGAAGCGGATGTTATTGAATCCAGGAATGTCGTGGTCTATATGGATGATATACTTATTGTTAATAAGATATTGGATGATCACTTTGGTACATTCAAGCGGGTATTTACATTGTTAGTTCAAAACAAGCTCGAGCTGCGCCTAGACAAGTGTTTGTTTCTAGAAACAAAAATAGAATATTTGGGGTATCTGATATCGCGAGACGGAATGCGGCCCACTGATAACGGCGTAGTGGCGGTTCAGAATTTTCCCGAACCAAAAACTATTAAAGAGATCCATAGTTTTATAGGGTTGGCGTCGTATTTCTGTAAATTTATCGAGAAGTTTGCATTAATTGCTAAACTATTGTATTGCCTATTGAAAAAGAATGCGACTTTTGTATTCGGAGTAATGAAACGAAGTGTTTTTAAATTGTTAAAACGAAAATTAGTCGAGACACCTATATTGACAATTTCTAGTCCCATATTATATACTGAATTGCATTGTGATGCAAGCACGCAAGGGTTCGGTGCAATACTGTTGCAACAACAGTCGACAAAAAAGTTGCATCCTGTGTTTTATTTTAGTAAACGGACGACCGAGGCGGAGGCCAAGTATCATAGCTTTGAATTGGAGACTCTTGCAATAATTTATGCATTACGTAGATTTCGTATATATTTACAAGGAATTTCTTTTACTATCGTTTCTGACTGTAACGCCGTAACACAGACGCTGGAGAAACGAGATATTAATGCTCGAATAGCGCGATGGAGTCTCAAGATGCAGAGTTTTGAGTTCAATGTTGTGCATCGGCCAAACGCGCGAATGGGACACGTAGACGCGCTAAGCAGATCGTTTAGCGTTTTGGTTATGGAAGATAATCCGTTCGAATGGAATTTAATGATATTACAAAATAAAGATGCGAAAATCAAAGACATAGCGAATAAACTTGAGAATGCAAAAGATCCACAATACGAGTTGCGTAACGGCCTGGTATATAAAAAACATAGCGATAAACTTTTATTCATTGTGCCGGAGAAAATGGAGCAGCGTTCTTTTCCGGTATCATAATGAAATGGGCCATGTAGGAGTGAACAAGATACTTTACAATATTTGAAATACTTACTGGTTCCCCGAGATCAGGAAAAAATGTAACAAGCATATAAAAAACTATTTAAAATGTATCTTATTTTCTCCGACATCTGGTAAGATCGAAGGATCTCTGCATCCAATCCCTAAAGGCATGATTCCGTTCGAAATTATACATGTAGATCACTTGGGGCCGATCGATAAGCAAGTTGCTTTAAAAAAATACATATTAGTGGTGATAGACGCCTTTTTAAGATTTGTTCAATTATATGCTACTAAAACCACTAATACTAAGGAGAGTATTGACTACCTAACTAAATATTTTCAATGTTATAATACTCCTAAAGTCTTGATATCCGATCGCGGCAGTTCTTTTACTTCTAGTGATTTTGAGGAATTCTTGAGAGGGCGAGATATAAAACATGTCAAAATAGCGACCGGCTCTCCACAAGCAAATGACCAAGCTGAGCGCGTGAATCGAGTAATAACTCCATTAATCGCCAAGCTCAGTGATCGAGAAACTGATAAACAGTGGTATAAGAGACTTGGGGAAATAGAATATTTCCTTAATAACACTATTAATAAGTCGAACGGAAAGAGTCCTAGTCAATTAGTTTTTGGTATGGATCAACGCGGTTTGTACCCCGATCACATTAAAGAATTCGTTGAATCAAACATAAACCAGATAACGCGATCCGCGACCCGCGATCTCGATGGTGCTCGGAGTCAATCGATGTATCGTATGTTGCAGTCGCAACAAAAGCAAAAATACTATTTTGATAAGAGACATAAACTCCCTCGAAGTTATAGCGTGGGAGATATGGTTATGATCAGGAAC